GTATGTGGGCATTAAAGGCCTTGATTGAAAAAGAGCAAGTACCGAAGGGTTCTATATCTCGTGGTAAGATTTAGGTTGAGGCCTAAAATAACAAAGAAAGTAATATTAACAATCTAAAAAACAAAAGCGATTGTTAACACAATAATACATGCTAAGGATATAATGTTATTATTTATTTATTTTTAGTTATTTGATTTACTTTTGCTACTTCATAGGAGAGCTTGACTTAGAAGGTGTCAATAAGCACTCTTACTGCTGATAAGGATATCTTGAAGAATACATTAGGGAACACTAACCATTCTAGTCTTGTTTAGGGCATCAGCTTCGACATCATAAAGAAAGAACACTTTAGAGAAGGCTGCAAGTATAGCAAAAAGACTACTTCTTCTGTTGAGGTTTAGGAACTAAAGTAAAAGTTAGTGGAACAGAAGCAGATACAAGAACGGTTTAGACCCATTGACATGCTGCTGAATTGGCATAGGTTGGGGCTTTCATTGAGTGATGTTAGTCCTAATGTGAATGACAGTTACACAGTCCCATCACAACTCTTACTTAAGGTAATATTATTCATTTTCCTAGCATTATTCATTTTAATATTATTCTTACTATATAATGATTCTTCTCTTTTTTAGGATGAGGCCGATGTTAATTGTTTGGGAGAAGATTGCAGTGTGGTTGTACTAGAACACATGTACAATGTTACTAGATAAATCATGCTTCATAATGAGGCTATCATTGAAGGGACAATTAAGGTTTGTTTGACGATAGCTAAGAAGCCTAATTATGATTTGCCTCACTCATTAAAGGCACAAAGACAATAGTAGATGCAATTAGAAGCTTTATAGCATAGTCGGTTCATCTCATACATATTTCAACTTTGTCTTTAAAGGTACAATAGTTAAACTCATAATTAAATTTTAACTTTCCTCCTGCATTTATTTCTAGTTGATCTCTAACTACAAATATGTGAAAAATTAACCAATTAATAAGTTTGTGGGAAAGAAAGCACAGAGGTCATGAAAACACCAGCGAATAATAAGTGAAAGAGGGGATATGATAAGAACTCCGTCAACAAATTCAAGGAGTCTATCACATTTTCTAAGGATGTACTGAAGGCTCTCCCTCAAGCCTATACGCCTAAAGCCTCTCAATCAATACCTTGGCATCAAGTAGTCGCACTAACAGATACTGAAAGTTGCTTAGGACTTACATAGAGGCACAATAAGGAGTAATGCTTCCTTTCCCTATAAAGATGTATGAAGATCCAAAGTTTGGCTACTAAGTCAACAATAAGGTGCTGATTGACTTATTCAATCATGCACAGGTTACCACTATCTTGTGTAACTTGTATATAAGGTATGTTTCTAAAACCTTACATTAAGTATTTAGTTTTATCTATATTTTTGTCATTTATTGATCCACTTATTTTCACATTTGAGAAACCTTTATACCATCATACTTGCCGGGAAAGATGTAGTAAAGAAGGTTATCCTCATCAATCTCCATTTGGTCTCTCCTCATGGCCACAAGACAACAAGTCCCAACAAATGATTAGAAATAACTTAGAAGCTCTCTAAATACTTTGAGCAACGTGGCGCCACAAGAACAGAATTCACAGCTCCTTATTGTAAAGGGCAAGTCACTTTATGATACTTTACTTCGTTAAAAAATTAAATTGTGATACTTTCTTATTGTAATCATTGTCATAAGGGGTATTGGATGATACTTGTTATCAATCTAATTGTAAGGTTTATGGTATCCTATTAGTGGTGGCAATCCCACCAATAGGTTGCATATAACGAAAATGATTAATCAATAAGTTTACTAAGTTTTATACATCTACATATATAATTTGTTCTTTCTGTATGAATATTTTTCATATCAACTTTTTTGTTGCATGTTAGAACTATTGTTATGTATTGTACTAAGGTTGATTAACAATCTTGACAATTAACAATGGGTAGTAGTTGCCTTGATAAAGCAACATCATGGACAGTTATCAATATGTATATATATCATTAATTTTGTTTACAACATAACTATAAGACATGTCATGTCATTAATTGATCAGATTTTTTTCATCCAATGTGCGATCGTAGTGCCTGTAATATAGCAAAGCTACTGATTGTGGGTATGTTATCATGAGATACATGAAGAACATAATCCAACACACTCCTATCAAGACTCTTCCAGGTAATATATATATGTTGTCAACATTCTCATCATTATATAATATTTTTATTAATTAACATGACTTTAATTGGTTGTTGTTTTTGCAATAAGTACTATGAAGATGTATATTGTCACGTATTTACTGAGGCTTAAATAGAAAAAGTTCTTAAAGAGTTGGTATGTAGTATTTTCTAAGCGTGATTTAGCTATAATAACTAGTAACAATAAAGAAATATATGATATAGGTATATATATTTAAAGGTGACATATATAGGTGTATATAATTGGCCAATTTTTAGAATTTGAAACTTTATTTTGGCCATTGATTGGCTAAATTTGAGCCAATTCAAATTGTATATAACTCGTGTACAAATGCATAATATAAATTTCATGAATAAGATTATTGTTAGCTATTGAAATTCTATTCAAGGTGTTAGCTATTGAATCTATAGATGTTCGATGTAGAGAAGTGTTAGAAATGCAACTTTTTTATTTTAAAAAGATCATAATATTCAACAAGTCTGAAAAAAATTGTTGAATATTAAGACCAGATCTATAGTGAACAAAAATTCAATGATATTAGACTCACACTGTTGAATATATAATAATATTCAACAGTTGTGTGTCGACAACTATTGAATATTTTCTCTCCAATTATTTGACCAAATTCCTTCAAACATATATTTAATATTTTTTTTTGTAAATAACAGTTAAATAAGGTATAAATATTCAACGAGTAAAAATCATTGAATAAAATCTCAGAAAATATTTAATACCTAATTACTTAACAATTTATAATGATTAAATATTAGCTAAAATGATTATTGAATATTATTATTTTTATAATAATGCTTGCAGATACAGTTTATATGTAGTATGAATTTTAATAATATATACTTCTTTTTGCCAGAACTTAAATAGATTAATGGGCGAGCTTTAACCTTCGTGCAAATTGACGATAATGAGGATGGGGACTAACATGAATTGCTTTTAAAATCTATAAAATACTATACTCCTTCTGTCCTTATTTATAAAATAATTATAAATAAAATTATGTATATTAATAAAATTTATTAAATATATTTCATAACTTTATTTTTAAAAATCCTTATATTATTTTTGACTGAACAATACCTTGCATTAGAAAAGAAGATATAATAAAATTTTGTTTTTATTAAATTAATTTTTTTATATTTTGAGATGATAAATTATTTTTAAAATTATTTTATAAATTAAGACAGAAGCAACAAAATATATCATTAAAAAATTAGTGATGATTGGAAACTGGGCCATTAATAATTAATCATTTAATTGTGACGGACATAGACCACAATTTTTGGCCACGCGGCATGTAAAACGTTTATAAGTTTAGTTAAAAAAAAAAATTACTACTCCCTCTATTTTAAATTATAAAATATTTTTAAAAAAATTTTAATATTTTAAAATATAAAATATTTTAATAAAAATAAGATTTCATTTATAATAGTTTTTCAGTACTATTTCTTTTCATATATTCTTTCTCTTCGATATTTTAAATATTAAATGAAAAAAATTAAAATTTAAAAAAGTAAAATTATAAAATGTATTTAATAAATTTTATTAATATATAAAATTTTATTTAAAAATATTTTATAAATTGGGAGGGGGAAATAGCATGCAAAACGTTTACTATTTCTTACATTAATTTTGCCGACAAATTCGACGTGCACGTAGCTCGTATTTGTCTCTTTTTGCCGATGACGTGGTTTTGCTGGGGCCTGGGGGGGGTGCTTCTTTCGGACATCGCAGATCTAGTATCTCATGAAGCTGCAATGATGTCCGATCTTGTTTTTTATTCATCGCAATAAAATTAATTTTACTTTTTTGGATTTCACAGATGTTTTGGAATAATAATAAAATTCGATTCATATCCTGATTCTTGCATGACATTTTAACTGTCAAATTCCCACACCCATTTTATCACATATAATAATAATATGAATTGTAATTATCAAATTCTTGAATTGACTTTATAAATTTAATATTTTTATATTTTTAATTGATAAAATCATATAAATTTATTTATAAATTTAAACTAAATATAAAATCAGTTAAACTCGTGAGTTTATCTTTAAATTTATCATTTTATATTTTTAACTTATAAAATTATGTCAACTAATTTATAAACTCAGATTAGATGTGTAATCTTAGTTAAATTTGTTAACTTCGTTAAATTTTTTTTGAGTTGAGCAAGTTAAATATATATTATGAAGAATTTAGTTTATAAAAAGTTATAAAAATTGGTTCAAAGAAAGAAAAAACTTGAAATGCAAAAATTAATATTAAAATAAAATAAAATAATCAAAAATAAGTTCTCCTAGTTTAAAATTTTTATATCTTGTACATGATAATTTATCAATATATATGGATTTAATTTTAACAATTTATATTTTAATATATTTAAATTAAATTTCAATCATATTTTAATAGTTATTTGTTAATAAAAGTTTACCGATCCTAGTTTATGATATGAGTTTACATTCTTATCACGAATTTATTTAAACTCGTAAGTTTAACAACCTTGATATAAACTCTGAAGTTCAAGCTGTTGGTCATTATTTTTTCCCCCACAATTTTCACATTTTAACATATTTTCCCATTTTGATAAAAATATTAATCTCCTGTCCGTATTTAACTGTTATTATTAACAAAAAAAACATTAGAATTATATAATCATATGCACTGTAATATACAGAGTTAAGTTATGTTCAATGAATATGAAACCATTTCATTGTAAACCAAACAAATTATTAAAGAAACTGACTTTAATATTAAGTAAAAAAACTAAATAACGATTCCTCAACACCGCAAAGAAACTAAAATTTCTGGGAAAGAAATATGCACATGCTGGCAAGTGGTAACTAAGAAGAGGGTATAGTGGTAAATAATGAATCGTGACGGGGTATTTCTAGGGAGCCAAACGCCCCAGAATGGCGGATTTGAGAGCCTCGTTGTTCCTCAAATCTTCAGGAATCTTCACCACCACGTCCTGCAGCATGAGCTCGTTCACACACGACATGCTCGCATGGTGAACCCCTAGCTCCAGGTCTCTCAACGCCGCCATTAGCCTCGCCCCTGGGTGGTTTGCCTTCTCCGATTGGACCCTCACCATTGCCTCCGGCCCCATGATCCTCACCTCCACCTCCATCCCTGTCCCGCCAGGCCCTCCCGATGACGTCGTCATTGTTTGCTCCACCGTCGATGTCGTCGCGCTCTGGTTGTCTGTCGTGCTAGTGTCCGCCAATTCCGTTTTCACTTTCTTGCTGTTATTGTTCGTTTCTTTCTGAACCTGCGATTCCAGGTCCTCGATCTTCGATTTCAGCTCGTTGATGTAGTCCACGGCGTCCGATAACAGAGAAGCCTTGTCCATTCTCGAGACGTTCGGAACCACTGCGCGCAGGGCGTAGAACCGGTGATTCAGCTTCTCCCGTCGCTGTCGCTCTGCCTCCACGTGGTTCAGCGGCGTTTCGCGGCCCAGGCCGGGTTTTCTCCCTCTCTTTTTCGGGGTTCTTTTCTCTATCGAAGGATTGCAGTCCGAATCGGAATGCTCCGAATCTGCATACCCGAACTTGAATCCCGAATTCGCCTTGTTCCTCTGTTCCCGCTTCTTCTTGCTATTATCATTCCTCGCGCTGTTATTGTTGTCGGGCACGTGGGAATTGTCGTCTTCCTCCTGCACGCCGGCGATAATGCCGATATCGGCAAAGGAAATGTTCTGATCGTCGAAGAACTGAATCAGGTTGTTGTTGGGTTGCTTGGAGATGAGGTCAGACCCGAACAGAGCTTTGGCCTGCTGAGCGAGAGCCCAGTTTTCGGGTATGAAATCAGAGGAACCCATTTCGATAACTCCGTTATTGGTGGGGATGCAGATCAGAGTCTCAATTCCGTGCAAGTAAGCCTCCTTGGCCCTCTCGCAGTTGCAAAATTGGAGGTCGTGATCGCTGTTGAGCCAGAGCGGAGAGCCAGAAGTGAAGGCCTTACCAGGGAGAGAAGCAGGGGAGGCAATGGAGAAGGTACGAGTCAGGGACATGACGTAGAACCACTCGGTATCATGGAGATCGCTGCATATGTTGGCGGTGTTGTCGTTGATGAGAGAGTGAATGCTGTTCACGAAGCGTGTTCTGTCGGAATGGAGGTCGGTGTAATGGGGAGTGGCGGAGGAGGTGGCGGCGGTGGTGGAACTGGAGAGTCGAGGAGAGGTGTCCTTGGTGCCATTGAAATGGCCATCACCCCAGGAGAGGAGGAGAGTGCCATTGACGTCGTCGTTGGAAATCCGCCAGAAAATGGCGTAGAGCCACCAGTGAGGCTGACTGTTGAGAAGAAATTGGAGCTTTTGCTGGAGGGAGGGTTGGGAATCACGGGGGAGACATAGAAGAGAAGAGGTGGAGGAAGGAGGGATGGTCAAATCATCCATGGGAACTGGGAGAAATAGTCCTTGACTCCTTGACTCCTTGTTGCGTGAATAAACCGAGCGTGGAAGGGTTTGGATTGATGCCTGCCAGGGGATCGGGGTGCGGGGGTTATATGGTGAAATATGGTGGGGCCTACTCCCTACTGTGGGGTCAGGACTCGATTCCAAGTTTTGCATACGTGGATTTGCCCCTCGTCGGCGGCTGATTAATGTCTTTTCGATTACGTTTTTATTGACAATAATTATTCTTGCGTCTCACAACAAAATTTAAATAAAATTATTTTTATAAAATTAAAAAATTATTCTGGAATTCCCTGCCCTTTAATAAACCATCAATCATGATTAAATGGTTGTTAATTATTACTATTTAGTCATTAACAGAATAATTTCTGATAACTTTAATAAAGATCCAAAGACCTCTCAAAAAAATTTCACAAACAAAGATTAACATAAAATAAATTTTTTAAAAAATAAAAATATGATTTTTTTTAATGAGACTTGTTGGGAATGATTTCCTTGAGATATTTTTGAATGTAATTCTCTTTTTAATGAAGATACAAGATTTTAAAGTAAATTCTTAATTTTATGAGATTTTTTTTAATGTAAAAAGCTTTGTGCCCCTATACAAACATACCATTCGAAACTATGTTGTCACTAGAGGATATTTTAGTCCTACCAAAACAGCACACACATATATAAATGTGCTACTCATCCTTAAACTGATTCGTTCACTGGCTCTAACATACTGTGTAATGCATAAAAATAAAAAGTGTGTGTTGTTTAAATGCAACTGAATATTTTAAACTACAAATTTGAATAAATTTTGATTAACAAAAATATAACCAGTACATTTTGCCATTGTAAAAAATAGTCATAAAATCACCCAAGATATAAGTAATTTATGTGTAGTTTTTCTCACATTTCCGAAATAAATGATAGGCTATCTAACAGGGGTCCTGCGACTACGTGGGGGCCGGGGGCATGTTATATATCTGTAGTCACGTACCCTATCACATGAATCTTTAAATGATTTCTCTGTCAGCACATGAAATGGACGAAAAATTCTAATTTTTTAAGACTAACTACTCGTTCTGTTATTTTTAATAAAAAGAAATTTTTAAGTTTAAAGTTTAAACCGTAAATTTGATTGAGTGCTGTAACACATTAAAAAAAAAAACAGAAACCCTTATTTCCAAAGTATGAACACCGTACACATGAGACCAAATGAAAATTCATACTGCTAGCTACCTAATCAAAACCCCAGAAAATGTCATACAACACATTCACTTTATAGTTGATTTCATTTTTTTTTTCAAATTTTTCATTTAATGTGCATTTAAAATTCTTTTTTAATTTATCATGTCGAGGTTGATGTGATTCAATTTATATTTTCGGATGGCTGTCATGTTATTATTCATTTACAAGATTGATGTGTATCAAAGAATAGTCATTTATAGCAGAGGAAGGAATGTTCGTAATTCTAGTGGCTATTTACCGCTATTGAAAAAAGTATACCCCGTGACAAAGCGTATGTGGCTGGGATTGTTTGAATACATAATGGAGTTAATTTATGGCATCAGCATTGAGGTTGAAGTGAATTCAATCTGAGTATGGATTTGAGGTTTATGTTCATTCTGACTTTAATGGTGACTGGATTTCAATGTTGGACTGACCTGAGGATTAATTTCCGTGACAAAGGCGTGAAATTTGATTTTTCATAAATCAATTTCATGCCTTAAAGTTGCCAATTATTTTGGTGCCCTCTTTTAAAGTGATTTGTTTAAGCTCTTCTAATGAAAATTAAATGCGCTCTGCGGCTTGAGAAGGAAAATTGTTGAAGAACAAAAATTAAAACGAAAGAAATTAATCTACGTGATGGAGTCAATGCCAAGATTCAGATTCGTAGTTCTGATATGGGTTTGGATTTTCTAAGAAAAACATGAATTAACTTTCAGTAGTAACGTGATTTTTATGCTCTCAATTTTGATATATAATGATATTAATAAAATTAAGATTAATTTAATGAGGATATTGAGATATACAACTGGAGCTAGAATCAAAACTTTTGATATGCAAATAGCGATGCAATATTAATTAGTTATAAATTGCTACTAAGTTGTCAAGATAGTAATTTTGCTTTGGGTCCGTATCGGCGACGTAGAAATTGCTACCCCACTCACCATTGTGACATTGTCCGTGAGTCAATAACGTGTAACGAGACTCCCTCCCACGTAAATTATAAAATATTTTTGAAAAGATTTATTGTTGAAAAATATAAGATATTTTAATAAAAATAAAATTTTATTAATGATTTTTTTAATATTACTCTTCAATTTTTTAATATTATTTTATAAATCAAGCATTAGATGATTGATATTTTTAAAAGTTTATATTTTTATTTTTAAAAAATAAAATTATAAAGTATATTTAATGAATTTTATTAATAAAGCTTTACAAGAGATTAACAGGACAAGACTTTAACCTAATCCAAAATTTGGTTTCTTTTGTGACAAAGACTAAGTTAGGTATTCCGCTTTAGTCTAATCCTATCTAGGCATAATTCAAAGTTGAACAAGACTAAACTTGGTCTGTAGGAGTGAAAGATTAATCTTGATAGTTTAGTATCTCTCTTTGTTTTTTTTTTTCATTTTTTCTATGAGGGACAATAATTTATTTCAATCTGATAAACTCAAATAAAATAATAAAAATACTTATAATCATATAAAATTTATCACAAAACATTAAAAGTTAATTATAATAAACCTATAATAGTCTCCAACTATAAAAAAAAAAAGTATTTCTGTTATAATCCACACAGAACAACATTCAACAAACTTTAATATGTCTAAACTACATTATAACAAGAAGTTAACAACAAACTTTAAACAATCACATATCAAAAGAACGTGAACGAATCAGAGCAAAGAAATGGTGAAGAACACGAGCAGCCCACGAACCAAAGGACTCACAACCATGCAACAAAAGTAGCACAAGAAATGGTGAAAAACAAGGGCCACTGAATCAGATGTAAGAAGACCATGAGCATCACGCAAAGGAGCAGCATGTCGGACGACAGATGGCACGAGAGAGGCTAGGGCTAGAGGATTGCTGGTTCTTGTTTGCATTTGGCTTGAGAGGGAGTGAGGAGTGGATGAAGAGAAGAGGTAGGAAATTAGATAACCAAGTGAGACATTGGGTTCAACAATCAGGTCTTAGTTTTTACATTCAATTATATTTAAAAAATAAAAAAATAATTATAATTATATTTAAATAATTTTATTGGACCAAATAGTCAGTTTAAAAGCTCAATCCTTTATTTAATCCAACGATGAAGTTTGGTATTATTGATCCTTTTAGTGCTTCAAGTCAATTTGTTCATAAGACTAGACCTGATCAAGCTTGCTTGATTGGATCGGGTTGGATAAATCTGTCAAACTTTTGCACAAATATATATGACTTTATTTAAAAATATTTTATAATTTAAAATAGAGAAAGTATAAATTTAATTTGAGAATTTTTTTTTCACTTTTTGGTAAAAACTTTAATCTGAGGACCTGACATGTTCTATTTTTTAAGTTCCTCTAACAAAAAACCTTAAAATTATAAGTTTTCTTCATTCTAACATGCTGCCTTTGCTTCAAACATCAATTTTAACTGTTCCCCCCGTTCGGAGACAAGTTCCGACAATGTTTCCCCCCTAACAATGTTGCTTGCAAGATGGAAGTTATGCGTGAGAAATTACTCCGTGTACCATTTTTATATGTTTTTTTTTTCAGAGTGATTTGATATTCCACGATATTAGATGTTTGGAGAAAAATAATGACTTATTAATGAATCTTATTTTAAAATAATTTCTCATCATTTCATTATTTAAGTACTTTTCCCTCTCTTATAAGTTTAATTTGTATTATTTACATATCTCTCCTCTTGTCCCATTCTGCTTGTATGAGATTTTCCTCTTTATTTTCGTACCAACTTGTGGGTGACATTATATTCCGACAATCATTATCTTTTTTTGGTCAATCGACAATAATTATCTAGGTTGCATTGTATTGCTTGAGAGTGTAATTAATACTGGTTACATGTGATATAAAATTAAATTGCAAAATTTCACAGACAAGCTTGTCTCAAATAATATGAGAATACGGATGCATGTAGTAGCTAGTAGCAAGAATTTACCCAAAAAAAGAAAGAGCAGAAGCAGTAGAATCATAGGAAAGAGAGATTATACAAATTCAAGAGATTTAGGTTGTGGAGATCGGTATTAATCAATGGCGTGTCATTAAACTCTATTTACAGGTACCGTGTACCTTCGTTTTTTGGGGTAATGGACATGTACTGTGTGTACTGTGGCCTGCGTTGGAAGTGGGGTTAGCCGTACACCGTTAATTGAATATTTCCATGTCCTCCCCAATAAATGTGCACTGCAGACTGCCTGGTCCCCCATCTAAATGTACCGAGCCTTCAATGAAGTAATGAACGTTGCTAGCTTGAATATAGAAAAGTCCCCATGAAATTTATTGTTTTTGTTGAAGTTGCATATTTATAGCAAATTAAAATAATTGTTACCGGTAGTTATTGTTACTTGATTGTGAATTGAATAATTTATTTGCAACTATATATCAGTAATTTAACAATTTCAATATGGTAAATGGACAACATCACAAAGCACATGTGATTTCAAAATAATTGCATCCGGATAGCCATTCGCTAAGCAGTAAGAACAGATTTTTCTAAACCACAAAACAAAACAAAACAAAAAATATCATTTATAATATTCATTATTTATAAACAATATCATTTTTTATACATGTTATATTAAACGGAAATATATCTATATAAGAAATTATATTTAAAAAAGAAAGAAATGTTTTTATTCAAAGTAATGTTTTAACTATATATATATATATATGTAAAATTTATTTTAATTTTTATTTAGAATATGAATATTATTCTTGTTTTAATTTTAATTAATTTTGATTAATTTAGGGGGGGAAAGAAAATAGATGAGTTAATGAGAACGACGGAGAATTTCATCTTTTCCGTATCATATCCTACAGGATAATAATTACGTATACACTTTCAGTGGCAAAAGGGGAAAGAAATCAATGAGTAAAATATACTGATCACTCTTTTATTATCTCTTAATTATGCAAAGATCCTATGTATTTTGAAAACTCATATAAAATCTC